TGTAACACAACACGCAATGCATGACTACAAAGCAGCTCTTCAGTCTAAACAGCGTGCATTAACTTTACGCATTAAACTGTTTGGAGAAGAACATGAAAGCACTGCTGACACCTACAGGACACTAGGTGTAACACAACACGCACTGCATGACTACAAAGCAGCTCTTCAGTCTAAACAGCGTGCATTAGCTATACGCATTAAACTGTTTGGAGAACAACATGAAAGCACTGCTGACACCTACAGGACACTAGGTGTAACACAACACGCAATACATGACTATAAAGCAGCACTTGAGTCTCACCGCCGTGCATTAGCTATACGCATTAAACTGTTTGGAGAAGAACATGAAAGCACTGCTGACATCTACAGGACCCTAGGTGTAACACAACACGCAATGCATGACTACAAAGCAGCTCTTCACTCTAAACAGCGTACGTTAGCTATACGCATTAAACTGTTTGGAGAAGAACATGAAAGCACTGCTGACAGCTACAGGACACTAGGTGTAACACAACACGCAATGCATGACTACAAAGCAGCTCTTCAGTCTCACCAGCGTGCATTAGCTATACGCATTAAACTGTTTGGAGAAGAACATGAAAACACTGCTGACAGCTACAGGTCACTAGGTGTAGCACAACACGAACTGCATAACTACAAAGCAGCTCTTAAGTCTAAACAGCGTGCATTAGCTATATGCATTAAATTGTTTGGAGAAGAACATGAAAGCACGGCTGACAGCTACAGCAAACTCGGTGTAACACAACACGAACTGCATGACTACAAAGCAGCTCTTAAGTCTAAACAGCGTGCATTAGCTGTACGCATTAAACTGTTTGGAGAAGAACATGAAAGCACTGCTGACACCTACGTGGAACTCGGTGTAACACAACACGAAATGCATGACTACAAAGCAGCTCTTCAGTCTCACCAGCGTGCATTGGCTATACGCATTAAACTTTTTGGAGAAGAACATGAAAGCACTGCTGACAGCTACAGGACACTAGGTGTAACACAACACGCAATGCATGTCTACAAAGCAGCTCTTCAGTCTCACCAGCGTGCATTAGCTATACGTATTAAACTGTTTGGAGAAGAACATGAAAGCACTGCTGACAGCTACAGGACACTAGGTGTAACACAACAAGCAATGCATGACTACAAAGCAGCTCTTCAGTCTCACCAGCGTGCATTAGCTATAAGCATTAAACTGTTTGGAGAGGAACATGAAAGTACCGCTGACAGTTACACGACATTAGGTGTAACACAACACGCAATGCATGACTACAAAGCAGCTGTTCAGTCCAGACTGCGTGCATCAGCTATACGCAAAAAACTGTTTGGAGATAAAAGAACATGAGAGCACTGCTAACAGCTTCAGCGAACTCGGTGTAACACATCACGAAATGCATGACTACAAAGCAGCTCTTCAGCCTCACCACCGTGCATTAGCTTTACGCATTAAACTGTTTCGACAAGAACATGAAAGCATTGCTGACAGCTACACGTCACTAGGTGTAACACAACACGAAATGCATAACTACAAAGCAGCTCTGCAGTCTCACCACCGTACATTAGCTTTACGCATTAAACTGTTTGGACAAGAACATGAAAACACTGCTGACAGCTACAAGGGACTCGGTACAACACAACACGAAATGCATTTACTACAAAGCAGCTCTTCAGTCTCACCACTGTGCATTAGCTGTACGCATTAAACTGTTTGGAGAAGAACATGAAAGCACTGCTGACAACTACAGGACACTAGGTGTAACACATCACGCAATACATGACTACAAAGCAGCTAATCGGTCTCACCACTGTGCATTAGCTGTACGCATTAAACTGTTTGGAGAAGAACATGAAAGCACTGCTGACAGCTTCAACGAACTCGGTGTAACACAACACGAAATGCAAGACTACAAAGCAGCTCTTCAGCCTCACCACCGTGCATTAGCTGTACGCATTAAACTGTTTCGATAAGAACATGAAAGCATTGCTGACAGCTACAAGACACTAGGTGTAACACAACACGAAATGCATAACTACAAAGCAGCTCTGCAGTCTCACCACCGTACATTAGCTTTACGCATTAAACTGTTTGGAGAAGAACATGAAAGCACTGCTGACAGCTACAAAACACTCGGTACAACACAACACGAAATGCATTTACTACAAAGCAGCTCTGCAGTCTAAACAGCGGACATTAGCTATACGCATTAAACTGTTTGGAGAAGAACATGAAAGCATTGCTGACAGCTACAAGGGACTCGGTACAACACAACACGAAATGCATTTACTACAAAGCAGCTCTTCATTCTGACCACTGTGCATTAGCTATACGCATTAAACTATTTGAAGAAAAACATGAAAGCACTGCTGACACCTACAGGACACTTGGTGTAATACAACACGCAATGCATGTCTACAAAGCAGCTGTTCAGTCTCACCAGCGTGCATTTTCTATACGCATTAAACTGTTTGGAGAAGAACATGAAAGCACTACTGACACCTGCTGGACACTGGGTGTAACACAACACGTAATGCATGACTACAAAGCAGCTCTTCAGTCTAGACAGCGTTCATTAGCTATACGCAAAAAACTGTTTGGAGATAGAAGAACATGAAAGCACTGCTGACAGCCTCAGGGAACTCGGTGTAACACAACACGAAATGCATGACTACATAGCAGCTCTTTAGTATAAGGGACAAACCATTAGAAAGTCTAGAAAACTTATGGGGGTCGGGCGAAGTACAAAAAAAAATTCGCGCAAGGGAAAATTTTTAAATGAAAAAAAAATTCATGCACGCCAATTAAGCCTTAAAAATATTCATGCTTCGGCGTAAAAAGAATCATACAAGGAATTTGACAACGAAAAAAAATTCCTGCGTTTCAAAAAT